TTTATTTGGTTGCTTATCTTCCTATTAATTTATAATTGAAGTCAAGAAGCTTTTGATACTCCTAAGATAAGAGGAAAATTCAAGTGTAACAGAGATTTATATTTTTCTTTATAAGTGTTTTAATAGAGTTGGATAAACCACTGAATGTATCTTTGTGGAAGTAGCTTTGCTACCTCTAGTGGACAGATTTATTATTGCAGAAAGTAACTGAGTTGGGATCCAACAAAGATGCACTAATTTCAAACAAATAAAGGGCATTATTAAAAAAAATCAATACAAACAAAGATGCACATTTCTTAATTTTATAATTATCTTAGAAAACCCCAAATTTAGTTTCTAAAATTGCAACAAACCAATAAAAAACTTTTTTTCTGATAAAATATGAGCCTTTATTAAATTCTGTGCAGGAATGTTAGAGAGACAATTCTACATACTTGGAAAGGCTTCTTTTGTATAAGTTATTTGCATTAGTGCAATGTGACATAGAGATAATAAAAACGTCAATTCCTGCCTCACATGCAAAATTCAATTTTGAAAATCTAAACTAACTAGCAAAAATTGTTTGAAATCTCTGACTGGGTGAGGAGTGCTTAAAATATAAGGGTTTGACTTTTGGAAGGCATTTTGTCAAATAGAAACTTGCAGATATTTCTTTTTAGATCCAGCTGTGGTTCCTTACAGCTATTTCTACCTCTTATAGAAGACACTGCTTTAAAGAGAGCTGAAATATGACGCTCTTTTAAACTATTACAAAACTTTCAGAGATTTTTAAACAATGTTTCTTCATATTCTCTTGATCAAGCTCTACATTTCAGAATACATTGAAAATGAGTTTAAGAACACTGCTCCAGCTTTTTTTTTTTTTTTACAAACATTTAAACACAAAAATAAACAAATCAATAACAATTCAGCCCAAGAACTCACTTTTTCCTTAGTGCCATTATATGACTCCTCTACTTTCCTCCTCCTCAGTTAATTTAATAAAACCTTACCTCAGAGCAAAATAGCTTAAAATGTCTACTAGATTTGGTACATCCTAATATGAATTATAGTTCCAGACAGCTGCATTAATTGCTTAATGATAAGTTTGCTGATGGTACTTTATTGTAATCCGATCAACATACACAAAACACAGTTCTTTGTAAAGTTGTATAGCTTTAAAAAAACGGCAGGTCAATATAGTGAGAAAGACCTATTTGGTTCCCCTAATTGAGTTTTTAGAAACTGATTAAATCACAGAAAGAAAAGTGTTGTTTTTCTAAATGTTGATAATGATATGAAAATTAAACTTTAAAACAAGAGTATGCTAAAAGGCAGATTTTCCCTACAGTGATTTGAAGCGTTTGCAGCAGCAGGGAACAAATGCCTTCACCAGGTTTAGTGCATAGTCCATAGTGCATAGGTAGGTGATTTTTTGCAGCCTAGTTTAATGATTCCATTGTTGAAAAAGCATCCTTCATATTCACAGTTAGGGGCATTTGTTTTCCTTTCTACAATTTGCAGAAAATTAGGCTATACCATGTTCTACTCTCTATTTCATGAAGACTGTTATAATAAATTCCCCGACAAATAGATTTGACCTCCCTATAAGCAGCAAGAATAAATGTGCTTTTCTTTTTCCTCGTATATTTCTTTGCTTTTCATTAATTCAATTCAATTTCAATTCAGTTTATCTTTATAACGCCAATTAACAACAAGTCATCTGAAGGCACTTTACAATTCAACAGGATCATACAGTCAAACTGATAAAAATATTTCTAACTAAAACCAGTTAATTACATTACCTCAGGAAATCCCTCACACCAAGACTGCTTGTAGCGACAGTGGAGAGGAAAAACTCCTTTTTAACAGGAAGAAATCTCCATTAGAACGAGGCACATATTGTCTGGTTCTACCTAGTATTAGTTTTTGCCTTCTTAAAAATGAAGTCCCTCAAATCGCGATGTCTTGCCGCTTGGCCGTGATGCTGTTCAGAACACCGTCACCTGCTCCACTGGTTGCACCAATCGAAAATGAAATTGCAAGTGCCCTCTGGGCCACTATAATTTCATCAAGATACTAGTAAGTACACAGCCTGCCAAATGTTGAAAGGGCAATGTTATTTCTATTACTGTTGATATATATTAGAAATGTACAAATTCAGTGATTAAATGTTACAGGGTATGGTATGGGGGGATGGTCATTTAGGAAGGGGGAGGCCATCCCCCCTCAAGTCGAATACTAGGTAAAGGACTGTTTTGGTAAAAGATGGTGCTACGGTTGAAGATCCAACTCAATGTGATGCTGTGAAAAGGTTGGGGTCAAAACCAGAGGATAATCAAAGGACGTGTTGAAGAGCAGCAACAAAAAGTTGTAGTGTAAGTTTGAGGGAACACTTTGTTTGACCTCACTGATGGTGTTCAGGATGCTCCATTTGGATTTGTCTTTCTTTCCACTATGTCATCCACGTCTCTTTATTGACATTATATTGTAAAATAGCCAAAAATGTTTTCTATTTCACTAAACCTCTTTAAAAAGCCAACTTTTATATTTGGACTACTTCTATCAGTTCAGGAACATTTTGAAGTGAAGGTTCTGACTCCGGGGTCCATTCTGTGATCACCGTCGATATGGCGACACAAAATCTTCACATTCATTATAAATAGTTGAGAGGATAATTGGATTTCTCAACTATTTCTAATCAGAAAAGAGAAGATCATAACATAGATAGTGGGTGTTCCGGAAATTATTTCTATTTAATAAAACAGATGTTACAAATGTTTAAGTTTGGTTTAAAGCGTAATAATACATATATTAAATAAGTCCTTTTGTCACCACTACATTGTTTAGAAATATTTCTCTGACTTTGATTTAATATCAAGGGATTAATTACTCCAATTGTGATCATCTTGAATGTTACTACATAAAAATTCGGTGAGAACAAGCAAAACATTCCAATTTAAATACAATATCAGTAAAAGTGAATTAAGAATGTATTGATTTCTCCATCATGGCTTATTTTTTATGATTTTTCATAAAAGTAGGAAGTAATGGAGAAAAACTAGAAAGATTCAAAAAACAAAGTGAAAGAAACAATTTATTAGGCTTATAAAAATTGGCACAAAATATTGCACAGAGTAAAATCTCCAAACACTCAGAACAACACTTATCCCATTTTCTGCTTTGTTTTCTTAAAAAAAAAGTCAAAGTTTTATAAATAAGGCATAAAACAAGTGTGGTTCAACATCCCGGTGCTGAACGGCAAGCCTCCAGCAGAGCGACAAAGTCCTCCTCATTCCGGTTCTCCGACTCGTCGGGAGAAATTAGATCTGATCAGGAAGAGAGAAGAAAAAGTTGAACCAAACTAGTCCATAGGGGATCTTTACAGTGCCTCACAGAGGTATTTATACACTTCAGACTTAAGTTTTATGGTTAACTGGGTAGGTTTATTATCCATCTGTCTTTGGCACCACATCTATATTAATTAGGAGCTGTCTGATGTCTGACCATCAGTCTGTAACCATAAGCCCAAGAAGACTTGTTAAGCAGGAAGATGATAATTACAGACAAAACAGCAAGTCTTTGATTAGCTCAAAAGAAAAAATGTGGCCTAGTCAAAGTCTGGACTCAAAAACAACTGGAATGGAGCAGAATTACCTTAAAAACAAGCAGCTCATTCTCACTCCATACTTAAAAACCCACAAGTATAAATGTATATATTCTTCAATATATGTAATATTAAAGAATTAACTCCCATTAATGGACCAAAAACTTTGGAAGAATTTGTTTTGTATTGACTGTGGATATTAATCTTACTGAAATGAATTTAATGATCTAAAACATCATGATCCAACACCACTTACACGCACTTCTCAACTATAGCTGCATATATAATCGGTAAACCTTTTATCTGCTATTGTCATTATTTATCCTTTATTATAACCCTATTAATATATATATATATAATCCATATCTTAACTTTCCCGTATAGTCTTTATATAGCTTGTATTTTTTTATTTATTTATAGCCTCTTACAATTAATTTCTGTTTATATATAGTATTTATAATCAATACATACATAGTCTCTGTACACATGTAAATACATATTTATATCCTGTATTGCACTTTTGGATAGATAGAAACATTTTGTTGCTTTGTACTTGTGACAGTGTAATGACAATAACTTTTGATTTTATTCTATTCTAAAACTCTTAAGGGTAACTTAAAGATTTTTTCCGCTTTTTGTTACAGCAAACAGACTAAACAGATTACCAATTTAAGTTCCCTTAAAGTCAGAATATTATTTGTATATTTATAAGACTTTGCTTCAATTTGTGAAACTGATATACGATAACTGATATACTATAAGTAGAATGAAAAAAATTATTGCCATTTTGGCGAAAATGTCGATTTTCCATCCATTTCAGAATATTTCTTTTGAAATTAATTGTTAGCCATATACATATATTAAAAAAGGAGAAAGCTCAAGAGTGGAGGTGTTAAACAGGGGGTCCGCCACCCCTAGGGGATACACAGAGGAAAACACGAAACTTTTGACTGATCCCTTTTTTTTTTTTTTTTTTTTTTTTTTTTTTTTTTTTTTTATTCCAACCTACACTTTTTTCCACTAATTGAAATATCTTTAAATGCACATTAACATGAATTCAACAGACTGTAGTAAACGAATAAATGGAGGAAGAAGATGTCTTTCAGTCATCAATGCACACATTCAGCGACACACAGGAGCTCTTTCAAGCTGGGCACCGTTTCATTCACAACCCCTGTCCCACCAACCAGGAATCTGAATCAGATATATTTTAATAATCCCAGGGAGAAATTATTTTAGTTACATTACTCCATATGTAATAGAGTGACTATAGGACCAGTTTGATATAACAATTTCATACAATATATATAATTATGGGGTCACCGCTCCATCTTCCCATCAGTTTGGGGGTCCTTGGCCTGGAAAACATTGAAGCTTTAAGCCATTATTAAGAGTAAAAGTAACCAAGTTGAACCTTCTTCTCTAGTTGTACTCAGTCTTCCTTCAGGTTGTCAAGAAGCTCCTGTGACTGCTGGGCCAACCTCCTCCTCTCAGCTTGCTGCTTCTTCAGGGCCTCATCTGCTTTCCTGCTCTGGTAAATCTTGACCCCAGCAAAACCCAGGCACAGCAGGAGGGTCTTGAGAGCCAAGATGTAGAAGAGGAGAGGGACATTGTCCAAACCCTGGGGGGAAAAAATGATAAAAGTGAACAAGACAATCTATTAAAATGAGTTAAGAAAACCTTGATGGGAAAAGAAATCTGTGGAACAGTCAGGGAGGCAGAAGAGGAAATGTTAGAGGCTTATCAGCTGTTTGCTGAAGGAAGGAGTTAATTTAGTCACAGAGAGGGGAGGCTGGGTGAAAGAGAGAAGCAGCTGCACACCCCCATGTGTTAGAAGCTGCATCTTCAACAGCTAATGCGCACCATTAGCGCAAAATCTTGCTAAAAAAATAAATAGTGAAGGTTTCTGACAAAAAAAGGTTCATAATATTATATTTGTATGGTTAGCTATGAAGCTAAACAGCTCTGAAAACATAGCATTCCGATCAGCTGCAACATATATGGAAACTACCTTGCTTAGATAATAAAACAACATGAACGCTGTGGTTTAATTAAATATATTTCTGTCATATTTACCTTCCAGTTGATCATCTTTGTTACTGTTTCGCTCTTCTTATGCGGCGTAAAAGCCTGAACTTCTATTAATGCTAGCTTAATCCACAGGAGGCGGGGCTTAAACCCGACAGGCCAATAGAAATTTAGCATTTTTTGGGACGTCATTGTGATGCTTTCATTAAAAAATAGAACAAATGGAAACCTGTGTCATCTTGTTTCAACGCACTCTTTTTAAAAGGTCGCACAATATTTTTATGAATCAAATTAGTGTCGCTGATATGTAGTTAAGTCAGCACTGATAACTTTGCAAACATACTGAACTATTATTTCAATCCGGTGTCATGTGAAATGTTAAGTAATGTGTTTTACTCGGTGACCTTGAATGCTCCCCAACCTCCAACTTATTTACATACTGGGGCAACCTTGAAAGTTCTAGAAAGCATGCAGTGACAAAACTTATACGATGACGAGGTAAGCTGAAGTCCCGCAACTGAATAGTATTAAAATTAAATAAAGAAAATGTCGTTTCGCTTTTTAGTTCTGACAAAATAAATGCAAGACTTCTTTAAAAAAAAACGAGTATGGCAGGCTATTTTATCACAAAAACGGCTTTACTATTCTTACGTTCCAGACATTTTGAATCGTTATATACTTAATCGGCATATACTTATTTTTATTTATCGTCATTCAGATTTAAAAAAAATATATAGTTTGACCAGTCAAAATTAACATTTATATGTCTTGGTTATAATTTGTATGTGTGACACTTTAAATGAAGAATCAGGTGATGTCTGTCATTTGAGATATCTCAAAATGCATTTTGACTCAAAATGTGATCTTGTGTCACCAGTCATAATATAATTTCAGATATCTCAAATTATCTTTCAAAACTTATCTTTTCCTAGTCAAAACTTTTTCTTTGATATCTCAGAATTAATTACGGATAGGCAGAATAAGATCTTATGAAAAATCGCCCTGCCATACAGGGATTTGCTGCGCGTATATATATTGTGACGTCACCCATTAAGGGGACGTAGTCACGGTGGCCGAGAGGTTAAGGCGTTGGACTCGAAATCCAATGGGGTTTCCCCGCACAGGTTCGAATCCTGTTCGTGACGATGTTTAATTTATTGATCATTTTTTTAAATCTTATTTTTTGCAACCTAAAACTCCCTACTGTTGTAAATTGACGCAGACTGCACATACTATTTACGATGTCTGAAATAGGCTATGTTGCTCTAAAGGCACAAGAAGACCGTATATACTTATCATTTGAATAAAAAACATTACAGTTATGCCTTGTTTTATTAATCTGATGTATTCATAAAAGAAACATACATTTATAATTACATTTCAAATACATTTACAAATTTTATATGGATTATGTTCAAAATATGTCACAGAAGTAATGCTGGAATCCTGAAAATATATTTGTTTTTAATGGCTTTTTTCCCACCATGTTAATCTATAAATCATCCAACCTTGATCCCCTCCAGCCATGGGCGTAGGTTTGCATAGGGACCATAGGGACATGTCCCTACCAAAGTTTTGAACCGACCTAATTGTCCCTACCAATAATTGGATGTGAGGAACATGTTTATAATTTACAGCAGTAGTTATTGCAGCAGTGGCTTCTGTTCCTCTCGCAGCTCCTCTGCCTGGTCTCTCCTGTCCCTTTCATGTAGCAGCGCATGGAACTGTGCTGCGCTGTTACATGAATGAGAGGGGCTCTCATTGGTTGTTCTGCCTTAAGTTCCGCCTTCTCTCTCTCTGATTGGCTGTTTTCTAGTCCGCGTGTGCTTGGAGCACAACATTGAAAATGTATTCACACTAGAATGCCGCGGTTACTACAATTAATATTAGGCTACAAAACTAGTCCCAAAAAAAAAAAAAAAAAAAAAAAAAATGAATATCATGTACACTAAAAAACAAAAATCTTTTTTTTCTTTTATAAAACGAAATATTCTGAGTCAGCCAGGAGTTCTGAAGACTGCTGGAAAAATGGGCAAATTAAGGCTGTAAGCCATGGCAGGATAATTCTCCCATACACAGCCAACTAAAAAAGAAAATGTGAGGGTTTCCATTTTACCGATATTAAGTTGATATTACTGTTTTCATTTTTTTGTTTTTATTTTTACAATTTTGATATAATAACTGATCTAAGTGGGTTGCTCTGTGGGGAAAGGCACATTTTACATTTATATTACTGTATGTTTTAAAGTCTCTATACTCCAGTTAATGATGAATCACTTACTAAATTAGTTGACGATTATTGAAATAATCAATTAATATGATTCATTTTTTTCAGCCCCAGATAAAATACATGAAATGGGCTACACAGAGTAACTACAGTCCAGATGTTCAACTTTTATAGTGAAGTTAATATTTTAATGAATGTATTATTTTGCTTGATACAGAGAGAGAAAAGTAGGTACAAATATTAGAGTGGGGTTTAACTCTGCACAATTCTATATCTTCAAAAGAAAATACTGTATTTACCTTCTCTCTTAGGCGTTCAAATGAAACCGTTTTCAAAGTGGAAAACAGTCCTAATTCCACATTCATCAGAGCCGGTGATACTTCAAACATTGATAAACAGCATCTAATGAGTCTAGAGCTTATAACATTTTTATTAATGGAGCAAAATGTTGCTTTTCTCTTTTAACAATGAATTCCTCTTATAAGTACAGATACTCACTTCAAGCATAAAAAAGGGCATGCATATTGCATAGCACCGATTACACCAGACCAATAGTGTCCCCACCAAAGTTCAAATCAAACCTACGCCCTTGCCTCCAGCATAATTCCATTAAGTAAAAATGTTATGACCTGAATTGTATGTTTTAACAATTTCATATGTGGGATCGAAATATGTGCACTTTTGACACAAAAGCAAATATATATATATATATATATAAATTGTCTTTATATATTATGGATCAGAAATATTTTTATTGGAATTTTCTTCTTTTTTTTCAAACATGGACTAATACAAGCATTTAGATGTAACATTTTACACTTATACGTGGTGAGGAGTGAAGATAAAATGGATTTAGTTACATATATATATATAAAATAAATAAAGATTTATAATGTTTCTTTGACAATTTGCTTTCTTTTAATTGCCTGACCAAAAAGCATAGAACCTTGACATAAAGTTTTGTGTGATTTGACCAGATGAAAAGTCTATCTTCTTGTCACTCTATGATCGGAGAGCAGAGAATCTCTGCAGCTTTTCTAGAAAAATAAAATAAACTTAGATGTTGTTAGCTTTTCTCTTTTATTAAAAAAAAGAAACATGAATTAAGATTATTTTGCACATTTATAACAGGAGAAAAACAAAAACTTTACATTCGAGTATATTTTAATGGTCGTGTAGAAGCTTGTCAGCCTCTTTGACCAAACAGTTTGAGCAGTGCTGGTGCAGGATTTTGCCCTTTTTTACTGCTAATTAAAATAATTTTGATTTAGCAGACAGAACGGTAGGAAATGGCTATTTTTAAATAGTCTGCTGTAATCCCGCCAGTTACTTGACTGCCTCTGAGGTCCTAACACATTACAAAAGGTCCGAACAAAGTCCGAACAAGTTCCGAACAACTTCAAACGAGGTCCGAACAAGGTCCGAACGGGATAAAAGTGTTTCAACAGAGAACCAATCAATTCCGTCGGAACGGCTCACGTGACATGAGAGGACGAAGGACCAATCACCAGTCCAAACGGTCCCGTGACGTAGAGGACGTTTTACAGTAAGCATCAACAACAGAACGTGAAAAAGGTATGGAAACTTGATTAATACTCATAAAAACACCACCATAAAAAAAAAATAAAAATAAACGATTTAATTTACCTAAAACACCACCATAAAAAAATAAAAATAAACGATTTAGTTAGCCTAAAACACCGCCATAAAAATAAATAGATAAATAAACGATTTAATTTCCCATCCCAGCAGCATGATATTTAACTGTTACTCAAACTTTCTTATGTGCTTGCACTGTGTGGCTAGGATGTGAATATACGTAATATTAGACTAGAGAAACTTTATTGTTATTTTATATGCACAGAGTGTATGCAAAACGAAATTCTGTTGCATACAACTTGCAACAATGTTATGTGTTATGAGCAGCTTGCCACTGTGTAAGGAGCAGCTTGCAAAAGTGAAAGAGTGGCATGAACATTATCATTTAGAAAGTGCAGCAGTAATCAGAATGTAAACAGTGTAGGAGAGAAATAAAACATTTAAAAAATAATGGTGCAAAAGGGCATTAATATTAAAAATGCAGTGCAAAATGAATATAAAACATTGAGTTGCATTCTATTTAAAAGGATTATAAAAGTTCTGCAGTTTAGTAGTGCAAAATAATGTGGCGTATCAGACCAATTATAACTTAATTATTCGTCTATTTGCTGTAAAAACTTTGCTTACTGTCGTTTGTATGTCAGTATATACTCATAGCTTAGATCCATGTCAACCTGTTTTATATTTGATGTTTGCAGATGACTAAGACAGGTAAGCCAGATAGCTACTGGTGGGACATCTGCTCGAAATGTGCCAATTCCACTTCTCAACTGACAAACAGCTAGGGGTCAAAAAATGGAAAAAGGCCTTGGAGAGAATTGATGCTTGCCCCTTGCAGAACAGTACAAACGTTAGGGATCTGTTTGGGAGAAGCCTTCAGTGCTCCTGTGGGTTCCACAAGGTAGGTGAAACAATTTTTTTTAATTGCCTTTTGCTGCTTTTTTTTCCCTTCTAATTAGCTTCGGTGGTTTTGCAGTAATGCAAAGCCTGTTTGTTTTTGTTTTTTTATGCACATCTAAATAAAAATGATTTTATTCATCATTCTATTATAAGTCATGATGAGTCACTGTAGTACAATAAGATTTAACCTGAAAAAAACATACACATACATGCATGTAATAACCTCAGGAAAGGAGGATATATAAAAAATAGATGTATAAAATAATAAATCTTGAAGGCCTGAGATGGACTGGCGACCTGTCCAGGGTGTACCCCGACTCTCGCCCATAGACAGCTGGAGATAGGCACCAGCACCCCTTGTGACCCCACTTGGGATAAGCAGGTAAAGAAAATGGATGGATGGATGTCTTGTAGGCTGCTTAGGAGGGATAAGAGGAAGGACAGGGACATGCTGCTGCAAGGCACTGTTCTTCCCAAACAGTTGCACCTGGCCAAGGAGCCTCTCTCTGCAACTAAAACACTTCCTGCTGCATCTGTGCAACATGCACATGAAGATATGAAGTTTGAAGAGCCTGAAAACCGCGAGGGGGAAATTAAATCGTAGTCATGCAATTAATTTCTCAAGAGTATCTTGCTAATTAATATACTGTTTCATCCACTGTAAACCTCTATGAGAAATCCCTGTTAAGTTTAAGCCCCGATCTATTGAGGTAAGCAACGACAAAGTAGAGCCCTGACTGGATAATACGTCTAAATACGTCACTTCCAGTGAGGCTAATGCTCTTAGATGGTCTATAGAGCAGGTGGGGGTCATGAATCTTGCTGCTCAATGGTGATTGGCAAACACACTGAAGGATTTTTGGCTGACAGTGGCCAGACAGCGAGAAGCTTTTCCTCACAATTCGAGAGGGAAAAGTGATCATTCCGAGCAGCTATCTTGTGCTGAACACTTGACATGGTTTCTGGAATTTATTATTTCAGAGCTCTTCACAACAGCTATTTTCACCCGTTGTAGTGATGTGTTTTATGAGTTTCAACATTTGTTAATGCAATCCGTGATGTTTGGATTTAATTTACACCACTGAGCCTCCCGTTTCAGAGAGCTGCAGCAACGATTGCCTTAATGGGGGAAGTGTTGGCCTGGTGGTTAAAGCAATGCTTGTGCTCTGAGGTGGATGCAAGTACCCGGTTTGATCCCCACAGCCTGCACTCTGGGTCCCTGAGCAAGACCCTTAACCCCACACTGCTCCCCGGGCACTGTACAATGCCAGCCAGAGGAAGAGTCTGTGTTTTTCAAGTCACTCTTTGATCGGAGAGGATCTCTGCAGCTCTTCTAGAAAAATAAAATAAACTTGGACGTTGTTAGCTTTTCTCTTTTATTTAAAAAAAAAGACAGTTAATCTAATCCAGTTGGCATGTTTATTTCCACAGGTGACATCTTGTAAGACATGGGCAATCATGTTGGAATAGATACATTTACATACCAAAACTTTACATTTTATAGGCTACTAAATGCTAGATTGTCATTGTGCTGCAGTATAACGCATAAAGCAATGATCGACACATGCACTGTTCAAGTGCAAAGCAACATGGAATACGATTATTTTGCACATTTATAACAGAGAAAAACAAAAACTTTACATTCAAGTATATTTTAATGTTCGTGTAGAAGCTTGTCAGCCTCTTTGACCAAACAGTTTGAGCAGTGCTGGTGCAGGATTTTGCCCTTTTTTACTGCTAATTAAAATAATTCTGATTTAGCAGACAGAACGGTAGGAAATAGCTACTTTTAAACAGTCTGCTGAATAAATCCCACCTGAAACTATACAGTAAATTATTTTTGAATCACTTAAAAAAAATAAATACATGAATAAATACAAAAGATGTCAGTTTCTCTCTTGGCTCCTGTACTGCAGTTGTGTATCTGATTCCATCAGGCAGCATTTTGAAACAAACATAATTCAGTTTTAGCACAATAATAAAAAAAAAAAAAAAAAATATCACTGGAATGTATATACACTTAATTTCATGTCATAGATAGCCTTAGTAATCCTCTATATCTGCATTTTAGAGTCATGCTAAACGCGGCAGCTACAGAGATAATGTAGTTTAAATGATTTGCATCCCACATGCTACTGTCACATTTTCAGCTATCCAGACACTTTGCGATAAGCCACAGAAACCTCTTTACTGAGCTCACCTTCATCTTTTACTTTTTTATCCCCCCAAATCTCAATAAAATGTATAAAGCCCACCAAAAATATTGAATTATAATTATAGAATCATGTACAAAAGCGGGAATCTGCTGCTAAAACAAATGTTGGTCTGTTTAAATCTAAGCTGATCCATCTCTTTGGCAAATTAGAGGCTCCAAACTGTAATATAAACTCCCTGCATCTCTATGCGGCTCGCTGCAACACTGTTCTTACCCTGTAAACTTTTATTCACGTTATAACCACACACTGCAATGTAGTTTATTTAGGATTGAGATTAAACAACAAAACGTAAATGAATGAAAAAATGGACAAGTTAAGCTTGTTTTTTGAAGGCCTCTGACCTAAACCTAATCAGAGAAGCAGCCATTAGTTTCTTTGGGAACTTTGGAGGAGCTGCAGAGAAATACAGCTCAAACCAATCCCCTGTTTGCTTTCAGCACAAGATAGATAAATTACCCCATGAAGATTTTTGAAGGTCAGAAATTGAGATCCCAAACATGGTGAAACACAGCAGTGGCAGCATCATGCTGTGGGGATCATTTTCTTTACAACAGGATAAGAAGCAGAACAAAGAAGAATCCTGGTAGAACAATCCAGCAGATCCTAAACTGCTAATCTGTGCTAATGGCTCATTTTTCCTCCCTTAAGCTGTGAAGAGTGAAAGGAAACAAAGAGTTTGTGGTTGTAAGATATGAAAAGAAGTCAGAAATCTGCTGCAAGGACCCCTGTCTGCATGCAGACTCTCTTAGATCCTTTCAATTATCTAATATCAGCATGGTGACTTTGCACCATCCAAGCTTAATTGTTTTATCTGCTAATGTCTACATCACCTGCTGATGCATGCTTGGCCATGCATCTTAACATCCCAGAGACCCTCTAAGTGGTTCTTTATCCCCAGCCACATTCTGCAGTTAGAAGTCAGAGGTAGTAACGTTGCAGTAACAGCTGAGCAGCTCCTCTGACAGAGACAGAGGATGGTTAGAGGAGACGCCGCAATCCGCGCCGTAATCTCACAGAGCTGGGAACGCAGCTGAGCTCATAAGCGCCCCCTGTGGTTCGTTCTGGACATGGTGAGCGGCAAAGAGACAGAGGAGAGGGAGGAAACCTCCCAGTAGAGGGAGCGAGACAGGAAGAGCTGGTAGAGGATCACCATGGAGATGGACTGGCAGAGGATCACTCCGATGGTGACAACCTAGAGGAAGGCGGTGAGAGAAACGGTGAAGATCGTAAACGAAGCTTAGCATTTCAGAATGTTTTGTTGGTTTCACACCTTCTCTCTCTGGTGGTCGTTGAAGATCACAGATATGAGAACGAGGACGGGGTGACAGAGGAACCACAGGAAGCAGCCCTGCGGAGAGAAGACACCATGGAGTTTATAGGTGTTACAGCGCCCTCAGCAATTACTGGTACCCCTGTTTAAGGTGTGGTTGACGACTTCGAAAAATTCTCCTTTTTTTAAAAAAAAAGCATAGAACCCAAAGGCAAAAAAAAGAGAAAAAAAACAACCTTTTATTTAAATAAATTATTTGATGGCAAAAATAAAAATCATATATTTAGGAAAATAATGAAATAAAATCATGTGTTCCACAATTATTGGCACCCCTAACAATTCAGCTAAAAAAAAAAATTATTAATTTCCTTTAAATATATTTTTCTATAGTTGCTAAAGTAGGTCAGGAACTTTTAATTAGTAATTGGTGACTTCCTGTTTCCCTGGGGTATAGATATGACGTGACACAGAGGCCTAATTCTTTTACCCATTTGTCAACATTGCAAGGACAAGAGAACACACAATTCAAGTAAGGCAGATGTGTGTCGACCTTCATAAGTCAGGCAATTGATACAGGAAAAATAGCCACTTGCCTTAACTTGCCTGTGTCTACAGTCACAGGAATCATTAAGAACTTTAAAACAACTGTAACAGCGACAATCTAGGCTGGAAGAGATCCCAATTTCATCTTGACACAACGCGCAGTGAGGAGGAAGGTAAGACGAGTAAAAACAAGTCCTAAGCTCACTGTCACAGAATTGCATCAAACAGTGCAATCTTGGGGTCACAAAGTCTCCAAAACAACCATCAGACCATCCCTGCGCTCCGTGTCCCAAGCCCATATCATCATTAGCAACCCCTCACACCCCCACCACGGACTGTTCTTCCTACGGTCCTCTGGGAAGAGGCTTTGCAGCATTCGCTGTGGGTCCAGCAGGTTCTGCAACAGCTTTTCCCCCACTACCATCAGCATGTTGAACAGCTGAAACTCTGCTACGTTCAGACCGCAAGCAGCAAAGGCAGCAGGAGAAGCTAGTTTACATGCAAAGTCAATGGTTTGATGCGCATCAAGGCGCAACAACATGTCCTGCAGAGCATTTTAAACAGCATGTGCAGCGCGTCTGAGCAGCTGAAGCAGCGCGTTTTGAGCATTTGAGCATCTGAGGCATGCGACGTGCTGCAAACGCAGCTGTTACTTTTGCTGCTGGACACGCCATATCAACCAATCAGAGAAGCTGATCTGGGATTTGGCAGAGAGACAGACACATCGCTGATGATACAGATCACTATGTTCACTCCTCTGAAACTGTTTATTAACAGCTCAATTAAAATGCTGTTGAATGGGATTCCTACTGACAGCGCATCGCCGGTACATGGGGGTCTGAGCGGCTCCGACAGCAAAATAATATTTGAAGGCAGGATGGTAATCTGGATGAACTGACTGCACAGATTAAGTTTTTAGGTGGACTTTCTCAGGCAAAGAAAGCATAGGGGAGCTCCGCCCAACGTGCATCAGACCCACTTTATCCTCCGCGCAGCTAGAGCAGCAAAGATGCTTCAACCGAGCATCAGAACTAAACTTGTACAAGCATAAAAAATGAAGCAGGTTGCACGTCTTTGCTGCTCTTGCTGCTTGCGGTCTGAACGTAGCATAATCATGTCTCTGCATCACACTTGGAAAAAGTCTTTCAAAATGATTTTTTATAATCTCTTGAAATAGAACACAACTCAATGTTCTACTGCATTTTGCACCATATTTATTTATTTTGCACTGAACTGATCTTTCCAGATCAATGCCTTTTGCACCATGACTTTAAAGGAGAATTCCGGTTTTTAACACTTTTAGCCCATTTTCTGTAGTGTCCAGGATGAAATCGAATGATCGACACCAAAATTTTGACAATTGGTCCTGTCTCTGCTTTTTGGCTCATGCAGAATCCACCCCTGGCTGCTTCAGAATGGCTTTCATAGTGCATGCCCGATAATGTCCTTAAAACAACCTTAAACGTTCTTTTTTTAAAATATGCTACTCACCGGGTCGTCAGCGCTGTTCAATGACGTTCCAAAAAAAGTTTCGTAAAGAAAAAACGTTCCTG